AGTCGGGTCATTTAATTTAGTTTAAGCGACACGCTCTCTCCTCTGGTCCGTAACTTTATCGCCGGACAATTGGCAAATATTTTTGCGAAGCGGCACGCTTGCAAAAATATTTGTCGGCCGTGCCGCGCAAGCTTGTGCATACTGTTTATTGCGTATGCTTTGCAAAAATATTTGTCGAGTTTTCCACGTACCATTGTCACGCGCTATTTCCATTTACATTCGCCTTCATAATTTATTCAAAAGAAGAAGAGCAGAAAGAAAGAAAAGAAACAACGCAGCGCGAAGAAGCAGCAAAACTTTTGCAAACCCGCCCCAATATTTCATATCGCGACACGGCGACGTTTTCGTTTCCCGATTTTTCAATTTTCCGATTCGAAGGTAACGAAAGAGGAGGGGCTCGGGTCGGTAATTGATCGATGTATCGCGATACGTCGGTGTGAAACGGTTTCTCCACCGTCGTCGGCCGCGTCGGTCTGGTAAAGTGCCCTATCAGGAAGACAACGTTTTACCCTCTGAAAGAAAAAGCCTCGGACACAAAAAAAGGACGGGTGTCTCTTTTGTATCGGTGGGAGCGGGAAAGCTGCGACGACGCCCTCGAGCACCGGCATCATTTGTTCAGCCAGCGAATGTAAAGAAAGCACGAGCTTTCGAAAGTGCGAGAGCGCAAGATGAAAAGAAGATCTTTGGGGTAGAGAGGGGAGGAGAGGGAAGGGCGACGAGGCTGGAGAATCGGTGGAGGAAACAACTCTCGCGTATCGCTTCACTCGACACTTCTCCGCGACCGTTCTCCCCGGGACATTTTCAATTGCGGCGACAAAAGAGACACGTTGATTGCTTGTTTCGTGCTAAGTACACATCTAGTCCGCGTTCTTGTGGCGGAATAAACGCGGGGTAAAAATCACGAGCGACGAGGTGTGCTCGGCAACTGGGAAATTTCTTTTTTTAAACTTCGAACTTTGCGCAAATGAGTTCACACGGATGCTGGGGAAAAGACGATTCTGAGAGTGAACATTCTCCTCCGAACCTTTTAAATTACTGTGAAAATGTATAAATATTTGCGAAATTGTATAAGATACAAAAAAGGGGGTAGATTAAAATTTATTAATCGTTTGTATAAAAGTTTATATTGTTTAAGGTAGACATAGATTGTTTCATAAGATAGATATGGATTATTTTTACAAAAATTTACATCGATCGTAAATGGTAAAAAATTTTTAAAAATTAGTTGGAAACCGAAAATGAAAATTAAAATAGTACATCTCCTAGTTTAATTTCTATTCTGTATGTTAAAATAGGAATACCTGTAACACGTGCATGTTAGTAAGATGATGCAATATACTGAAGTGAAGTGAACTGATATAATAATAGATTAAGCTCGGTGATTCACTGAACTGAAAGATATATTGCCAATTTTCCTTTCAGTATTTTCTGTTATTAATCGTCGAGTTAAATTGT